CGAGAAAGATGCCGGGAGCTATTCGGCACGGATAGCGAGGAGGACCAGGAGAAGGAACTACAGGTCTCCGCTTCGAGCTCTCCATGGTCGTCGGCGCCGGCGACACCGTCACCGACTCGACCACCGAGGACCCCATCGCCACGGAAGAGGTCACGGAAGACGACACAGGCCGCTTCAATCAAGAAGACCGTGTCGCGGCCGTTACCCGTGGGGGCCTCACCAGAGTCTCCAGCACGAGATCCTGGTGGTTATCTCGTAGAGCAGGGGTTGCGACCACGCTCACCACAACCGAAACGGCCAACCCACGACAGGGCCACGCAGACCACGGCGATCTGCCCACCAGGAGCGTCACCGAGGAAACCGGCCGCAACACGCTCGCCCCGGAAGGTCGCTCGGCCGGAGGCCTTTAGAGCCCACGGATCATCTCCACGCAAGCGGGCTCGAATATCCTCGTTTCCTTTGCGAAACAAGAAGCCGAGGATAAGGCCTTGGTGCGGGGCCAAGCAATAATGTTAATAAACACGAACACGCCACCACTTGTACATAAATAAACATGCGGGTTAAACATTGAGCCTGTCTCCTCATTGAGTACACCCTTCTCCTCCTGCGAGTAGGATTCCGAATTAAGCTAAGATCTTGTAAACGCGAAGCTAACGCAACCACATGAAACATAAAAAAATACTTTTAATATTAGAAAATAATTTATTCAGATTTATAAAATGATTTACTTGTATTTTATTTACTTTTAAAACAAGCAAATATTTATTTAAACAGTTTTTACATTTAAAAACACTAATTTTCTCCTTGTAAAGAAATCATTTGTTTATTCTTATATATGTAGATTTTATATATATAGATATTTGAATCAAGCAAATCACTTTTTTTATTTATAAATTCATAATTTTACAGTTTATTTTATAAATTTAAAAAAATATTTCTTTATATTTATTATATATTTTCTAAAATTTAACAAATATTTTTTTAAGTTAAGAAGTTATATGTAACAAAATATATTTCTTCCATTTAAAGAATTTTTTTCTAATGTACGTTACCAATTTAAATTTCGATTTTCTTATTTTTTTATTAATTTAATAATTATAAATAATTATATTTATTTTTTTCATGTGCAATATTTATAGAAATATTTACAAAATATTAATTTTTTGTTTACAATAAATATTATGAAAAATATTTAGATATGTAGATATTTCTATATTTCAATAATATTTTGAATATAGATTTTCATAATTTTTCTTCTCTCTTTGTGTGTGTGTGTGTATGTGTTTGCGCGTGTGCGTTGGCGTGTGCGCGCGCGCGCCTGTGCGTGTGTGTATTTATATAATATTTTAAGAAAGTAATTAAAAATAAATATTTATAAATATATAATTAAATATATATTTAAATATATATTTAAAAATAAATATTTATAAATATATATTTAAAAATAAATATTTATTTAAAAATAAATATATAAATATATATTTAAAAATAAATATTTATAAATATTTATCTAATAACTTACTAATATTGTATGCTGTCTGGGTTAGTACTTTAAATCTTAACAGTACTTTGCGTAAGTATTTCATCACTTAGCAAAATATTATATATTAGTATTTAAATATTAACAATGTTCTGCGCAAGTATTTTATCACTGGACGAAGTATTACATATCAATATTTAAATATTGAAATCAATCATAAGGTAGGATTTGTAACATTAAATATTGAAATACTTGAGTACTAAAAGCTGTATTTGAATCACAGAATATTACTAAATACTGTACTTTTAATACTGAAAATAAGTAATTAATCAATGATTTTTAGTATGATATTTCTATAAGGGGCGTATAAGTTTTATTATATTACAATGTTTTATTATATGATAATGTTTCATTAAATGACAACATTTTATTATATAACAATGTTTTATTATATGACAATGTTGTATACAATGTTTTTATACGAAAGTGATGTACTAAAATATATATTTCATTGTAAGCAATGCAAAATATGTGTCTATATTCGTGTTTGCGTTAAACAAGCCTGACACTTCCCTAATTACCCCTAATTAATAGCATAAAAACGAGACATATGCAAAACAAATATATCATATTCAAAAACATTAATTACATGCCCTATGGTAAGAAAAAAAAACACCGCAGAAGGATAACTCACTCTACTACTCGTCGCCGGGTTTCGAACGCTCACTGCAGGTTCAAAATTTCCGACATGGGAATCTCAGTCTGCTCGACCACACCACCTCACTGAAAAACAGTCGCATTTTTAGCCATATCCGTGATACAGTGCTGCAATCCAAACTTTATACAGTAATTTCTCACAAACAAAGGCCTATTGGCATAAACCCCAATTAGGATGTCGATGCTTAACATCGCAGCTAGCGAACGTGTTATGTCTTATTCAGAAATCGGTTTAGCAGGTTGTGGCATCTCCTTGTGAGTTCTCACTGAGCGCGTCACGGGTCGCGTCGTCTGCCTACGTCACGAGTTAACCAATCAGATCGTTCCATTGGAACAAGTACGTCGTGCGTTGATTGGTTAACTCGTGACGCAAGCAAACGACGCGACGCGTGACGCGCTCAGTGGAAACTCAGCCATAGTCGAAGCTTATTTCAAGACCGTTTTAAGTAATGTCTTAAGATGCGAATACGGCTCTGTGATTGGTTCATAACATCTTAAGGTAGTACTTAAGATGATCTTAGGGTGCGTTCAGATTCCTCATCCGGGTGCACTGTATTACTAAAAACACTATAGTATATGTTACATATACTACAGCACTTCTAGTAATAAAATACACTCGGGTGGGGAATCTGAACGCAGCGCTAAATATAAGATCGAATTATGAATACCTGCCATAGGCCGGTAAGCCGTTTCAAATTGTTCAAAGTTACCCGGGTGTTCCAAGTTACCTCAAATGACGGTATTTTAAATAATGTTTTAAAAAATGTTGAATGTTTTTTTTATAATATTACATATAT